CGTGACAGGACAGGATGAGGATTCATAGACGGCCTCCATAGCCATGACAGGACAAACAGGAAGTTCACAGGTGGATACCACTGATACTTCTGGAGGTTCTGCAGCGGATGCCGTCACCTCTGGAGGTTCTACAGCAGTACCATCAGGAAACAGGGAGAGTTGATAAATATTCTCTTTAACAGGACAGGAACAGCATTCAACAACGGTTCCTTCGACCACGACATGACAGGCTGAGAGTGCATTGCTGGGCGCCACCACCATGCAAGGAGCTGAAGCGAGCACCGCGGCCTCGGGAGGTTCTGCAGCACATGCCGCCACCTGAATACCAGCTGTGACTGCTGACACCAGCGGTGGATCCTCCACGCTAGATACCAGTCGGGAGTACAGACAAACTGACCTCGGACTTCTGGGTGCAGCAGACAGGAAGTAACCGGACTCTGGATGATCAGCTGTGATGTGACGTGACTCTGGATGATCAGCTGTGATGTGACGTGACTCTGGATGATCAGCTGTGATGTGACGTGACTCTGGATGATCAGCTGTGATGTGACGTGACTCTGGATGATCAGCTGTGATGTGACGTGACTCTGGAAGATCAGCTGTGATGTGACGTGACTCTGGATGAACAGCTGAGACGTGACGTGACTCTGGAAGATAAGCTGTGACGTGACTCTGGAAGATCAGCTGAGACGTGACGTGACTCTGGAAGATCATCTGAGACATGACGAGACTCTAGAAGATCAGCTGTGACATGACGAGGCTCTGGCAGATCAGCTGATAAGTGACGAGACTCTGGAAGATCAGCTGTGACGTGACGAGGCTCTGGCAGATCAGCTTAGATTTGACAAGACTCTGGAAGATCAGCTGAGACGTGACGAAGCTCTGGAAGATCAAGTGAGATGTGACCAGGCTCTGGCAGATCAGCTGAGACGTGACGTGACTGGAAGATCAGCTGAGACGTGACGACGCTCTGTAAAATCAGCTGTGACGTGATGAGGCTCTGGCAGATCAGCTGATAAGTGACGAGACTCTGGAAGATCAGCTGTGACGTGACGAGGCTCTGGCAGATCAGCTGAGATTTGACAAGACTCTGGAAGATCAGCTGAGACGTGACGAAGCTTCGGAAGATCAAGTGAGATGTGACCAGGCTCTGGCAGATCAGCTGAGACGTGACGTGACTGTAAGATCAGCTGAGACGTGACGACGCTCTGTAAAATCAGCTGAGACGTGACGAGACTCTGGAAGATCAAGTGAGATGTGACCAGGCTCTGGCAGATCAGCTGAAACGTGACTGGACTCACGAGGAGCAGCTGTGACTTGACTTGACTCATGATGATCAACTGTGACTTGCCTTGCCTCATGACGATCAATGATGACTTGACTCAGAATGATCAGCGATGATTTGACTTGACTTGACTCATGAAAGGCAGCAGTGACATGACGGAGCGTTGTAGTAGCTGCCATTTTGCGAACAGGCTCCGCTGTTGCCGCCATTATGTGAGCACGCTCCAGTGTGGCCGCCATTTCACGAGCGGGTTGAATCACCGGAGTAGCGACCGGTATACTTGAACGTCCCTGAGCTGGTGGCTGACAAAATCTCACGGCCGCCATTACCGGCACGGAGGCGCTGTCATGTTCCTCCTACGCGACACCCACAGTGAATAGAGAGCCAACAGTCAACAAAGCATAATCCAAAAACTGGCTGAGAGACGAACGCGGACCCTCACGTCTAAGCTTTAACTGAAGAGGTTGATTAACGCCATCACAGAAAAACTCTTATCAAAATAATGTCCGGTAAATCGGAATAGTGAGCAATGGATAAAAACTCTTGAATATAGTTCTCCAAAGATCGTGTGCCTTGTTTAAGGGCTAATAAAATTCTTGCGGTGTCCATACCTGGCCAGTGTCCACTTGAACAGCTGCTGGATCCTTGTGTAGCCGAGTATTCTGCAACGAGGAGACGTGACAACTGGGGTTGAGGATCCAAGTGCAAAGCTTTTATTTACAGACGTGGTCACAATCAGGCATGGGTCAGACAATGGCAAACAGGTATGTAGAAGACAAGACAAAAGCAGTCCAGTAAACAAGCGAGGGTCAATCAACGGCGAACGTAATCCAACAGTGCAAGACTAGGGAGATAATCCAGGTACAAGGCAAAAGTCCAGGCGGGGGCAAACAGAGTCCGAACGACCAGACGAAAGGGGTCATCCGAAATACACAGGCAATGATCAGAACACGAGAAAACAGATAAGGCAACCCTAAGATTAGACTATGAAACTAAAGCAGGCTCCGTAATGCAGCTATCAGCTATAACAGTGATAAACGCTAAACAATATGTGGCAATTTGAGAAGGATCTCAGTGGGTGTTATACACACTAAAGAGTTGGCAGTCAAAATTAAAACTGCTGAATGATAAATACTCTTAATTTTTCTCTGAAAAACAACTAAATATAATGTGAATTACAGTATGTACAATCTTTTCTAAATGCTTAAATTGCAGTGTACACAGGTCAGTACTCACTACTCTCATCTTACTCAAGTAGTTTTTTGGACAAATGCTTTTTACTCTACTAATTTTTTGTAACGTAATGGTACTTTTACTTGAGTATATTTTTTCAGTACTCTTTCCACCACTGATCTTGAGAAATGTTTAGTTCACATACACATTTTATTACTGAATAAATGAAAATATAAGTAAAAAGGTATACAAGTAAAATGTCAGGCACAAATAACAACTCACACTCTGGTCTGTAATCCTGTACAAACAGAGAAATCACTCAGTGATGCTCAACTAAATATCCACACTATGAACGCTGCTCAGAAATCAAATTCAGCTGCTGTATATTATATTGTGCATGCTTTAAATTGAAATCATGTGTATGATGTCACTGAATGTTGAAAACAACTGCAGAAATAAAGCCTTTATTGACCGACCAAGACATGTAAAGTCGATGATTCTGGAGCAGTTTGTTCTTTAGCGTGTTTGTTCTGGTGGGTCTGAAAACTACCTAAATAAGCGAATCTCTCGCCGCAGATGGAGCAGGAGTAAGGTTTCTCTCCTGTATGAACTCGCTGATGGACCTTCATGACGCCTGATCGAGCAAACGTCTTGTCACACTGTGAGCATTTGAACGGTCTTTCTCCAGTATGAATCCTCTTGTGCTTTTGTAAAGTATCAACCTTACTGAAACTCTTCCCACAGACGCTGCAGTGATATGGTTTTTCTCCAGTGTGAATCCTCTGATGTTCTTTAAAATGAGTTTGATTAGAAAAGCTCTTCCCGCAGTAGGAGCACAGATATGGTTTCTCTCCGGTGTGATTCCTCTCGTGATTGTTCAGACTAGAAGTCTGACGGAATCGTTTGTCGCAGTGTTTGCACTGATACGGTTTCTCACCTGAGTGTATACTTTGATGTGACTTTAGACAGCTTGAGTCTGTGAAGGTTTTCCCACATTCACTGCACTGATACGGCCTCTCATTGGTGTGAACACGCACATGTTTCTTCAGATGAGATCCATGATTGAAGCTCTTCTCACAGTGAGGGCACTTGTATGGTCTTTCTCCCGTGTGGATTCGCTTATGAGCATCAAGATTTCCTTTGGTGCTGAAATACTTGTCACAGTCGCTGCAGTGGAAAGACTTTTCACCGTGAGTCTTCAAGTGAACTTTTAGTTTTGAAGAATTGAAAAAAACCTTCCCGCACTGTTCACAGTGAAACTCCTTCTTCCCGCTGTGCTCTTTTGAATGAAGTCTCCTCTCTTCTGGGGTAGGAAAGCTGATTTTGCATCTCCTACAGGTGAAGTGTTTCGGTTTCGGTTTTGTGTGTATTATCTTGTGTCTTGTTAAATTACCCTGTTTGCTGAATGTTTTTCCACACGAGGCACAGGAGAACCTCTTGAGCTGCTCTTTTGAGGTCGAGACTGTTTCTTCATTTCCATCAGAAGATGAGCCACCATTGACATCTGAAAGGAACAAAACTGGATTAAAATACATTTAAATGGTCTTGACTAAAGTTAGAGAACATCCACTTTAATCCAGATGTTTCCCGCCATTCTTCTGGCACGATCATTTATTAAGAAAATATGCGTCCAGGTCAAATCAACAATAACAAAAAGCAACTGTTGTTTTTCGCTGCTTGGTTTGTAGTAAATGCTGCTCCACGCAAAAGCCTGTGTCTGCATAATGCCTTGTTATTTTTACAGTTAATTAAAAATTATTATTATTCATAATGAATGAATTTTGCATCTCCTACAGGTGAAGTGTTTCGGTTTTGGTTTTGTGTGTATTATCTTGTGTCTTGTTAAATTACCCTGTTTGCTGAATGTTTTTCCACACGAGGCACAGGAGAACCTCTTGAGCTGCTCTTTTGAGGTCGAGACTGTTTCTTCATTTCCATCAGAAGATGAGCCACCATTGACATCTGAAAGGAACAAAACTGGATTAAAATACATTTAAATGGTCTTGACTAAAGTTAGAGAACATCCACTTTAATCCAGATGTTTCCCGCCATTCTTCTGGCACAATCATTTATTAAGAAAATATGCGTCCAGGTCAAATCAACAATAACAAAAAGCAACTGTTGTTTTTCGCTGCTTGGTTTGTAGTAAATGCTGCTCCATGCAAAAGCCTGTGTCTGCAAAATGCCTTGTTATTTTTACAGTTAATTAAAAATTATTATTATTCATAATGAATGAATAATTATCACAATATCCTGCAAAACAACCATAATGTGATGTTTGGCGAAATCCAGCGGCCTTTCAAACAAGCTCAGCAAACCTGGAGCTCTTTTAACTTTTAATCCCATTAAAAAAAATTATCAGAAATATGTCAATTAGATTTTTTTCTCGTAAATTGTTCAGCCCTACTAACATTTGACATCATGTTCCCAAATATCTCAGTAAATCTGCACCATCAGTCAATATGAACCTGATCCTGCAGAGTGTCTGCTGACATTCAAGTGTCATGAAAAACAACAAAAGGTCATAAAAGGAGAAACACACCTGGAGGAATGAAATCTTCCTCTTCATCATCCCCATTATTCTCATCCTCCTCCTCCTCCTCCTCCTCCTCTTCATCATCACTGTGTTGTTGTTCTTCCTCTGCGGTGGTTTCTTCTCCTCGGCTCTCCATCAGGTTCCTGCAGTCCAGCAGTTTGACGGAGCACATCTTCAGCGGCGTCTGCAGCATCTGCTGTTCTCCAGCGTTACAGTCAGAGGTTTGATCAGTGGATTCATGATCCTGAGCGTCAGTATAACAGAGTAAAGTGAGGCTGAGCTCTGAGTCCTGTGTGTCTCTGGATCTCTGATCTCTGACGCTCCAGACTGAATCCTGAGCTTCTGTCCCATCAGCCGCACGCACTGAAACCTGCTCCACATCCTGACAAACACAATCAGTAATACATCTAGTAAGAGTATGATTAAAAACAAGACATTAATTCACATAACAATCAGTCCATATTAGCAGCTGAAGATGAACTGAAGAGCTGCTCAAACCTCTCTGTTCAGTTGGTCTCCTCTTTCTCTCAGCTTTGCCTCCAGTGAAGCCACCTCTTTCTTCAGCTGACAGATTTCTGTGATGAAATCCTCAATATCCAGCATGGACAGATCAGTTCCTACTGATTTACAGCAGACCACATCCACCTGCGCTTTCATGCTCAGCATCTGAACACACACACAGCACGATTATTAAATTATTAAAAGACAAAGTTCGTTGATCGGGAAGAAGGAGGCGGGAACTGGCAAACATTTAAACACTTTAATAAAATAAACCAATAAACCAAAAAAGTAAAGCGGCAGCCCCTTTGCGGACGACTGCCGCACACAAAACACAAAATAAAGTCCAGGCCTGGTCCTCTCTCCTCTTGCACTGTCGTCACTCCTCCTTTTATCCTTCCGGAGCTCCTCCGTGGGACTCGAGACCAGTGAGTGGCGCTCCGTTCCTACGGCTCTCGGCCCCACCTGCGCCACCTGCTGGCAGAGAGTGAATCTGCATCTCATTTAGCTCAGCTTTCATGCAGATATTTTTTATGTATATTTTGTTTATATGAAGAGATTTTTTTATTTGTGTTACTTATTTGATTTTGGGCTTGTTTTAAAATTTCAATTTAGTTTTGTTATTTACATTTACATTATATTTACATTTTGTTATTTAGCAGACACTTTTATCCAAAGTGACTAACAAATGAGGACAATAGAAGCAATCAAAACCAACAAAAGAGCAATAATATGCAAGTGCTATATTAGTATATTATATTTCACTTTCACAAAGAAACGTGCAGCATTTTGTCCAAGCAATAATAAAAGGACACATTTAATTTATAATTTGTCTTAAATCTCATTTTGTAAAAAACAAAATCGTGAATCAAATCGAATCGTGAAATCAAAATCGTGAATCGAATCGTGAGTTGAGTGAATCGTTACATCCCTAGCTAGTGGTAAACAAAAAGAGCATGATATTTAGACTTTGGCCGTTGTAGTTTTTCTGTGTGCTGAATAAAGTGGAAGCAGCGAAAGAGGAAGGAGTAAGAGCTTGAGGTAAGCAGTTTTATGTTTTAGCGCCATGTCGCGTTGATTTCATGTTGCATTTTTATTGGCTGATCAGTAAACGTGGATCATAGCAGAGAACACACTGTGAGATGATCATGCTGTATTTCTGACACTATCAGAAAATAATCGTAGGCTATCTTTGGTCGCAAGACCGTGACAACGGCCGTCTTTGAACCTCTCTCACTGTACGACACAGGACCAGCGATTAGGAGCCACAGAAATCCCTACGACTGTTTCACGATGGGACAGCCGTGTGTCTTGGGCTTTAAGGCCGGGACACACCAAGCTGACTTCAAAGAACTAGCGGCGACAAAAGCTGACAGTGTTGTTGCCTCATGTCGAACCAAAAAGCTGTGCTTGAACACACCGCACAGACTTACAACTGACTGCGCCGATATACGACGCGTAAACAAAGCAGCGCTTGCTTACTATTTTGAATAGTCATGTTGATAACTTTCTTCATTTTAAGAAATTTTTATGTTCATATTTAAAACATTTTCTCTCATGTTGTTATGAATATATTTGCATGTTGGAATGCCTGGGAAAGATCACGTAACATTAGAACAGCCCTCTGTCTGCACCGCCTTCATTTACTTACTACTTTTCATCACTTTCACTTTAAAGGGATAGTTCACCCAAAAATGAAAATTCTTTCATTAATTACTCACCTTCATGTCGTTCCAAACCCGTAAGACCTTC